AGAGCCAAATCCAGGAGTACCCCCAAACTGCAAACCTGCATTTTCGGGGGAAATGTGACTCTGTCCAGCACAAGTTGACTCCTCATTCCCAGATCTATCTTACGATTGACCAGAAGCACGTCTGTCTTGTCTGCATTTAGCTTCAATTTGTTTGCCCTTATCCAGTCCATTAACCAGGCACGGGTTTAGCATAGGAACCACTTCTTTGGAATTAGGTGGAAAGGAGTGATAGAGTTGGGTGTCATCTGCATATAGATGGCGCCATGCTCCGAAACTCTGGATCGCCTCTCTCAGCAGTTTTATGTATATGTAGAACAGCATGGGGGACAACACAGAGACCTGAGGGACCCCATAGGCCAGTGGCCAAGGAGTCAAACAGAAGTCCCCCAGCACCACCTCCTGAGAACGTCCCTCCAGGAAGAAATAGGTACTGAAGAACAGCGGCATCAAGCCTCATCCCAGAAAGTCAACTCAGAAAGATATCATGGTTGATGGTATCGAAAGTCACTGAAAGATCCAGGAGAACCAACAGAGACACACTTGCCTATCCAGTACTCTGTGACCAAAGCTGTCTCTGTCCCATAGTCAGGCCTGAAACCAGACTGAAACGGATAGTCTGCTTCATCCAGGAACCTCTTGGAGTTGCCACCACATGCTCCAGTACCTTGCCTAAAAATGGAAGATTGGAGACTGTTCTGTAGTTGTCCAGTACAGTGGGGTCTAGAGAAGGCTTTTTAAAGCTCCACTGGCTGCCGATTTGCTACCGGGCTCAATTCAAAGTGCTGGCGTTGGCCTTTAAAGCCCTAAACGGTTCTGGCCCAACCTACCTATCCGAACGTATCTCGGCCTATCAGCCCACCAGGACCCTAAGATCTTCTGGGGAGGCCCTGCTCTCTATCCCGCCTGCTTCACAGGTGCGGCTGGCAGGGACGAGAGACAGGGCCTTTTCTGTGGTGGCCCCTCGGCTATGGAACGCCCTTCCCATGGAGGTAAGATCAGCCCCCTCGCTGATGGTGTTCCGTAGAAGATTAAAAACCTGGATGTTCGAACAGGCATTTGGTTAATTCGGTGCAATGAATGTAATGATTAAAGGATTGGTAATATGGACAACGAAACTGGATCATGATTTTAGTCAGGAGATGCATTGGATTGTTATTGATGTGCGAATATTGTGTATCATGCTTTTATGGTTTTAAATTGTATACTGTTGATTGTTGTATTTTGTTGTAAACTGCGTTGAGTCGCCGGCTAGGCTGAGAAACAGCGGTATACAAGTATAGCAAATAAATAAATAAAGAAGTGATCTTACCGCAACTTTGAGACCTGAAGGGCCTCTGCCCTGATTTAAGAAGGCATTAATTGCTTTCTTGACCCACTCCACTAATCCCCCTCTAGCCTGAAAGGGCAAGGGTCTAGAGCACATGAGGTGGCTCTCACCTCCCCAAGAATCTGTCCACATCCTTAGTGAATCAAGGGGCTGGTTTACCTCCACTTCATGAGAAGGGATACTTTGTAGTCGCCCTGAGTCCCCTTGTGGGAGAAGGGTGGGGTAGAAATGAAGGAAATAAATAAATAAATAAATAAATAAATAAATAAAATTGTGTTTACTGCCCTGGTCATTTCCGATGCTTTCTTTTTCTCTCCACTGCAGGAGTTCACTCTCTATAGCAGTTTCCAATGGACACAGTAAACCGTATGCAATGGAGATCAGAATGTAAAGTAATTGGTGGGGATGGACGGTTGGGGACGCAGAATAGGATAAGAAAATCTCCAGATCTGCATATAGCATTTATCCAAACAACATAGTCAAAATCTACACAGCCAATCCTTGCTCAGATCACTTTTCTACACTCTCTCATAAATACATATATTTTCAGTGAGATGTTTCCCTTCAATTGCCTGTTCAATATTATTAGTAGGAGAGGAAATAAGTTTACTGCAGACAACTTAAAAGGGGATAGATTCATTTAAAAGAGTTGTCATTACCAAGAAAAGAAATTGGTATATATTATTTTAACAGCATGTATTTCAAAGATTCATTTTCAGTGGTTATTATAACATTAGGGAGGAAGTTAGATATTATCTGGAAATGTATATAAGACTCTATCACCAAGTCCCTTTTATAAAAAAAGGAAAAGCAGTTTCAGAAGCCTGAAAAAATGATGAAGAATAATCCCAAGTGGCTAAGCAATGAGGAAAGTTACTGTTCATACTTCTGCTCACTTGACATTTTGCTCACTCAAAATCCAATTATACCAAAATTGCTTTTGCAGTTGTAGGAGAAAATGTAACAGGTGGAAAAGCAGGCTCCATTCATAACTAAATCTGCTCTTCAAGAATAAATTTGGAGAAGAATCCTGCAAAGCTCTTAGGATCCTTCAAGGGATCTTCTTTTCTAAAACAATACTATGGCACTCTGTTGTATTTTTTTCATGGTCATGGCTTTTAACCATTCTGCTATAGTTTGTACTCTAAATGGATCAGTGAGCAACCTCCTTACCATGGCTATTAATGAAGTTTATATACTTCCAGTGATACTAGACCTCTGAACACTATTTTCTGGAAAGCAAAAATGGGAAGGCACAGTTCTTCTTAAATTTTGCGTGTGAGTCCATAGCTGTGTCGTTCAGTGCTGTACAGATAAGTCTTTGGTCTGGCCTGAATATCAAGCAAAAAGTGAGTGCTAGAAACAATATCATACGAAAGCTGACTGGCACAATATGGGGATCACAACCAGACACAGTGAAGACATCTGCCCTTGCGCTATGCTACTCTGCTGCTGAGTATGCATGCCCAGCGTGGAAGACATCTCACCACGCTAAAACAGTGGATGTGGCTCTTAATGAGACACGCCGCATTATCATGGGGTGTCTGCGCCCTACACCACTGGAGAAATTACACTGTTTAGCTGGTATTGCACCACCTGACATCCGTCGGGAAGTAGCAGCCAATAGTGAAAGGACCAAGGCAGTGACATCTCCAGCTCATCCCCTGTTTGGGTATCAGCCAGCACGTCAACGACTTAAATCTAGACATAGTTTTCTAAGATCTACAGAGACACTCGCTGGAACACCTCAGCAAACGAGAGTCCAAAAGTGGCAGGCTCAAACCCAAAACCTCAATCAATGGCTGATACCAAATGAGAGACTCCCCGGGCACACAGAAAACTGGGCGACTTGGAAGGCGCTGAACAGACTGCGCTCTGGCACCACGAGATGCAGAGCCAATCTTAGGAAATGGGGCTACAAAGTGGAATCCACGACATGCGAGTGTGGAGAAGAGCAAACCACTGACCACCTGCTGCAATGCACCTGAGCCCTGCCACATGCACAATGGAGGACCTTCTTGCGGCAACACCAGAAGCACTCCAAGTGGCCAGATACTGGTCAAAGGACATTTAATCAACTACAAAGCTTGAAAACTTTGTGTTTTGTTTGTTTGTTTGTTTTGTTCTGTTAGAAATGTAATACAATTGTCTGGTTGCCCCTGACACGATAAATAAAATTTGGTCTGACCCAGCAAAACCCTTGAGGATTCTTAAAACAAATTAATAAAATGCAAGTTCCTCTTTTAAAATGGAAATACCTTAAGAAATAGAATGGACATTCATCCAAAGTTACACATTACTAAGGATGATTTTTATTTTTCAACAAAGATTGAAACTGTTAAGCCGTTGTCTAATAAGATGGTTCCTTGAACACATTTTAGACTAAGCTACCAATGCAACACTCTGCTAGCTGATAATGCTTGCCAAGTTCTTCCTTACGTCTTTATGGAATTGAGCTACCAACATTCCTCAGAGGGCATATTGTGTGATCATGTACATTTCCTCTCTAGGCACAAATGCTTAAAAGTAAGATCTATAATGCTCATCTACTTCATATATTTAATTAAAAATTCTTTTCAGCGTGTGATTCAAATACGAAACTTCTGCCAAGATCAAACTTTTAGAACTCATCATTACTGCATGTACAGTGAATGTGCCGCTGGAGATTTATGGCCCACAAGCAGGTTGATGTAATCTAAATGTCAAGGGTCAGTTGCACAAGGTCATTTTTTAAATAGTGTAATCCAAACACATCCTTCCAATTGATATTACAGATTATTTTCTTGCAAAGGCTGCAAGGGAAGTATTCAAGAACATTCTCCCACAACTATTTTATATAATATTCTTAACAAATGTTTTGAGAACTATAATTTAAAATGACACCATTTTCCAGAAATGTATCTTCACTACATTTGTAAATCTTATTTTACACCAAAGACATTGATTCTGTGTTATTTTTGAAGAAATAACTCACAATTTGGGAAGATAATAATATATTTCTAAGACTGCTGTTTGAAAGGTTTAACTTCCAACTAACAGGTTCTATATTCCTGTTAACTTAACTTTATGTACAAGGTAACTCTGTCATAAAGCCCAAAAAAGAACATTTACCTTACGACAGATGCAACTATATTGTGAGAAGGACAAATCAATACTCAGAAAACCAATTTGAACTTCATGAAGACACTCAAGAAGGATATTAATGTATACGCAAAGATATGCACACTGGATTGGATTCAAACTTACTCAAGTTGTAAGAGAGATTTAAATAGGACTTTCCTTATCATCGACAGACATAATTCCTGTTAATTTTAATGACTATGACTAAATCTGGATTCAAGGTACTATTATTTATACATAGAATATTTTATCTTCATCTTCAGCATTTCTAGTCTCAAAGTAGCTAATAAAACATAAGATTTTGAACTTCTGTCTTAAAGGGGAAATACAGAACAACACAATCTCATTCATCCCCGTGCCTTCAACTTTTTCAAAACTATTGAACCAAGTTGTCTTTTAAGACTCTATTAAAACAAGTATAGTAGCACTTAAGAAACTGAGACCTGAATTTGCAGAATTGTATATATATCAAACTACTCCACAGTCAACAAAGGGGTGTCACTGAAGCAAGGGACAAAAGTAAGGGATGAAAATATGCTTTGAAATGACATACCTTGAGGTTGCAATTTCCACCTTAGTTCTTGCCATAGCAGCTGCACGTTGGGCACCTTCGAGTGCTCTCTCCACTTTTTCCTTAGTTTTTGTGTTCCTTATTGGAATAAGCTGCTTCCTAATTCCACGGACCAAAATGTTGTTTTTATACTTCCCCTCTTCTTTGGTGCCATCTGGAAACATGGTACATCCATAGCCATGTCTCTTATTGTTCAGCCACTCCCCTTCATATTTCATACCATTTGAGCGCTCACTAATACCAAACCCATTACGCTTATCATTCTTCCATTCTCCCATGTATGTTTCTGTTGTGGTGGCATCAACGTGGTCTTCCGTCGGGCAGTAATCACAGTCTCCATCTCCAAAACTAATGGTAGAGTTGGCATCACTAGAACTAATCCTGCTCATAGCAGCATCGCTCCTGACTGAGCTACGTTTGCTAGAAATCGACGACTTTGATTCAGATTTTCTAAGTTTTATACTACCGAGAAGGGATCCTCTTCTGAACAAACCTCCTTTTTTCTTGCTGCCAATACCTTCAAGATCACTGTGAAAATTCAGCACAAACCCTCCTCTTGTTCCAGCTGGACTGTCTGATGTAATATCGTGTAGAACAGTGCCATTGCTCTGTTCGCTGCGCAGTGAAGCTAGAGATGTCCTCAGGGGGGAACGGATCACAGTCGCCATACCATAGGGAACACTTTGCCGCATGCCGTAGCCATGTCTCATCCCTCCTGTCCATTGTCCTTGATATGTACCTTTGCAAATAAATGAAAAGAACATGAATGACATTTATATGTATAATCTGTCAAAATGCCAAAGATTCAAAATAGTTTTCCTCTTCCACATATCATTTATACAAAGCCATAATTAAATCGAGAAGAGACAACATTCTGATTACACATGCAGATAAAACTGTAATCTCTTCCAATCTCTCTCTCTCTTTCTAAGTATATGTACTTATGCATACAAAACATATTTTTATATGCTTGCAATTTATATTACCAGATATTACTATCATATTAATTGTTGCAAAGTTGCTAGTGATAAGATATGGAACCCCATCTACTTGTGAACTTTTATCACATCATGGCCAATCTTTTTGGATAGAGTGCCACAAAACAGTACATGCTATATTCCTTCCCAAATAGGGTGTCCAGGTAAGGACTATTTCATGTCCTGGATTTTGGGGATGTACCAGGGTGGGAGCTGGTGATGTCATTAAAGAGCTCACAGCGGGCCCTTGCTATCTGCTAGGGTTTGGTTCTAGGTGCCTGCGTCAGTATCAACATCTGTGGACACTTAAGTGCCATTATATACAATGGCATCTTTGATTAAAATGACAAACAACTCAAATGAGTGCCAGAGATAATTTTGTGGCTCTGTGAAATGTCAGGTTAAAGAAGGGTATGTCTTGCCTATACATCAGAGTAATGCTTGGCATGCACTCAAATAAAGGTATATTTTTTGGAATCTATCTATATCTATCTATCTATCTATCTATCTATCTATCTATCTATCTATCTATCTATCTATCTATCGTTGGTTGAATCTGTGAATATAGAACCTGTGAGTACAAAGGACTAATTGGACATTAGTTTTTTTAAAATGAGGTATGTATGTGTGTGCGTGCACACTTTTAAAGGTAGCCCTCTCATATTCAGATTCTTCCCCTGGCTCCAAAGATGGGAGAGGACAAGGGCTTAGATACAGCAACCTTATTCTCAAACTCTGGCCAATAATCTTTTGAACCTATAGCTTCCTGAAACTAGGAACACACAGATGCGCTTACTGGATTCAACAGCCAGCAACACAGACTGCCTTTCTCCTTCACTGCCATCATCACCATCCATCACTGATGGGATTTTATCTTGACAGTATTAATCTCATATTGTGAACTGCCCTGGCTGTATGAACGTATAGAAAGGTAAGAATCTCTGGTTTCAAGAGGGACTTACTCCTACGTGAATGGAAATTAAATCATGGCAAACTTCTATTTGACTGAACACAAACATTGATGGAGCCCTGAATAAAATAAACTTACACATATTGAAATCTATATTTTAACATATGGCTGTTATGTTCTGTTGAAAAGCCCGACAGCATACCTAGGATACTTTATTATTTACAAACGTTGGAATATAATAAACCATCTCAGCACCTTTAACTCTGAACTACAATGAAATTAATGCATACTTCAGGCCACATATACCTCTATATTGATAATAAATATATCACTATCTTGTTATTTAATTATGATTGCAAAGAATATATTTTATTGTACACTTAAAGTGTTGTGAAAAATCCTGAAATATAAATTGATACAAAAATAATTCTGAGATATGTTCCAGAACCAAAATTTAAACTCCTCTTCTTAGTTTATGTAATCTTAAACTGTAAGCCTGTAAATAGGTTTTATAATGTACAGTAAATTATACAACTTTTAAATATTCCTGGTCCTTATAAATTCAATGTATACATTGAACCATAACTTAGATCCGTGAACCTTTACCAGCAAGTCAACATATTCATGGCTTATTGTGCAAATTTAAAATGAAAAAGAATAATTTGAGACTGGCAACATTGGTATTTTCCCCTCCTATCACCCGAAAACCACTGGTAAAAGACCAAGACTTAGTGAAACCTATTCAATGAATGATTTCTGGCAGATACATAGAGAGTAGAACTGGAAAACCTAGGAAATGTATAGAGGATACCACTCTAAATATCTCTAGTTCCCCCAGCATGGGCAATTTCCAGTTGAATCACTATGGATCACAAGAAAATGACTATAGATGTCATATTTTGTCAGATGCTGGTAAATGAAACTGTGGGTACTGGTCCCATGGACATATTACATTTTGTGTTTTTAGATAGCCTTTTAGGCTTCCAGTACAGAGATGTCCATTACACACATGCTATGCCTAGGACCCATACATGCTAGTAGCTTTATATTTTAATTGTAAATAAACAATTAAAAACACTTATTTGAAACCCCACTAAGGGAGAGCCACATGTAGGTACTATCAGTTTGCTTCTGGTCTGAATTCAAGATGACATCAAAAGCTTTAAATGACCTGCAACCTTGATATTCATGGAGTGCTTCTCCTTACGCATACCTGCCTGAAGTATGCTGGCCTACTGCTTCCCCAACTACTAGAGGAAACAATTGTGGGAAAGGACCTACTCTGCGGTGCCTCCCAGTAATGGAATACCTCCCACAAAGGCTCAAGTGGAATCAACTTTGGTGTCATTTTTATTAAAGTCTTTGGAGGCCAACTGACTCCATCCAAATCTACATACCATTTTAAATTGTTGTAACTGACCTTGTTTTGAACAGTCTTATTTTTAACTTGTCAATTTGTTTCACATGCTTGCTGTCTGCTTAAATTAGTCTTAAATTGTTTCGATTTGTTAAGAAGTTATTTCATGCCATGCTGTTCTGAGATCACGTTATAATGTATGGCAGATTAATAGGGACCCCCCCCCCCAAGAATACCAGTAAACAGGGAAATAGTGAATACCAAAGAATTGTGAGTTTTCTCTGTGGGAGCCCTGGTTGCCAAAAATTCTATGCACTTGAAATCATTTAGGCAGGTATTAACATATAAGCAGGTATGTGTGCTAGAATACAACAGGCAAGGTGCTACTTGGGGTAAGCCAAAATGAAAGCAGTAGCAAGTCCCATCAAATCCTGTATCCATCACTTTAAAATTGGGAATTATATTGCAATAAGATCACATGTAGAACAATGTGCCATAGCATGCTTTTTATATGCAAGCTGTGCAATATCAATGGTCAAAACAAGGAAGATTTATCTGCTTGAGTTTTACTTACTAAAGTATTTTGATTTTGCCTCTTCTACAGAATGAGCTGGCAATGAGATTAATATATGGAACTAGCAAAATTATTCAGTTCCATGTGTAGGAAAAAACCATGCACAGCTCAATAATTTTAAATAAGCATCATTGTGAACATTGGGGGTCTAGATTGTGTGTGTTTGTGTGTGTGTATTACAGTGTTCACAATGAGAGAAGTACAGTATGTCAACGAAAAAAATTCTCAGGACAAGATGTACTTTGACCTGACCTGACTGAACTTCTGCTCAATGCCCCTTGTTACATTCATTTTGGTGCCAGAAGAAATTCGGGGATTATTTGTCAATGGACTCTTCTTTAGAAATACAGTACAGAAATTTCAGGCACTTATTTTAGACATGTCAGCTTATTGCTTTGGGTATTCCAGATCTTGGAGAGATAATTTTGGGCCAACAATTTCCAAATATCCCTGAGTTAGAATGGTCTCCAGTCATGATGCATGTTAGTACATTTTCATGTACTGGCTATTACTAGTAGAAAATGATTGGGAACTCTTTGCTCTTTCTTCCTCCATATAACTAGAATAATTAATAGAATCATAGAATTGGAAGAGACATCATGGGCTATCCAGTCCAACCCCCTGCCAAGAAGCAGGAAAATCGCATTCAAAGCACCCCTGACAGATGGCCATCCAGCCTCTGTTTAAAAGCCTCCGAAGAAGAAGCCTCCATCACAGCTTCCAACTCTATCTAAAAACCTTATTCCTCATTTGATGCCTTTGTCTGGGTCTCCTCACCATTTGTGGTTGTGCCAACTTATCTATAAAAGCCAACACCAGACAAATTATGATTTCAGTACTACGGCTTCCAGCATGTTTTATAACTATTTAAATTAATATCATACAGCTATATTCATGGCTATTTAATCCCTCTTTGTTTTTCCTGAAATGTTATATGTTTGCAAGATGTTTTATAATTAGGTAGAAAAATAAATAAACAAGTAAAGGATGGTGCTACTTTTGAAAATGGGCCTTACACTAATTAACCTCACAATTAACCAGCTGATGGATGGAGTGTCAATGTGAGTTAGTCCAACATCAAAATCCAAACATGTCCTAGAAATCACTATGTTATTTCAGATTGGAATATATTCTTGAATTTTAAATTTCAACTAATAAAGAAGAGTGAAGCCAGTGAAAATACAGCACCTTTACAGCTCATTTTTAGAAAACTTCACTCCTGTGATGTATATTAAAATCTGCTTTAAGTGAAATTGAAACAGCTCTATCATATAGATATTGAGGTGGAAAAATGGTTTCCTCAAGATAACCTAGACAACCTAAATTAAATCACACAGACAGGTTCGGTTCCAGGATCACAGGCCATATTACCTACTGCAACATGTCCTCAGCAGATAACCGGAGCGGCTAACAGATGACTTTATGCAGATTAAAGTAATGTATGTGCCTTCAAGCTGCTTGTTCTGTTATAGCAGACGACTTGAATTTCATATGGTTTCCTTAAGCAAAAAGTACTAGGATTATATCCCCTTTAAAAAGCTTTACCATATAATGAGAGTGGTTATAATTATGGGCTTTCATCGCGCTTTCAATATTTGCTCATAGGAAAGGTAAGAGAGGGTTCAAATTCAACTTTGGGACCACTGGAGTTAACTCCAAGTAGTACGATGGGTGTGAACTTCTGTGTCTGCCATGTAATAAAAGACAAGCTGTAAAAAGGTGCCTTCCTGTCGGGGTCTGTTTCACCCCAGAAGGCAGGAGACCAGGAGCAGCGCTACATCTTTTGCATGAAGTAAACAGCCAGGCCCTCGGCTATGTAAGGGCGGCACAGAGGGAGTTAGGGTCGGGCTATTTATGGAGATGGCGGACACTTTGAACAATCCTGGTGGGTGAGGGAGGCTAAACTTTGCAGCCTGCCCTGAGCGTTGCTGAAATGGATCACAGGATGAACTGCCTTGCCTCTTCACCATAGACTTTCCATATACAGAATATCCTCAAAAAACGTAGACAGCCTTTGACAGCTAATAGGGACTATGGTGATTATTTGAATACATTTACATTCAATAATAAACGTTATAATGAAGATTTAAACAGAGTTGCAAACGTCACCTTGATTATAATTTTATGGAAACTGCTGCAATTGTTGACCCTACAGAGCCATGCGTTGCCTGCATTGGGAAAACACAAAGTTGCAAGTCCCAAAGTTTGATTTATAATTTTGTTAATCTCATGAAGAGTGTGCAATGAACCCTTTAGGGTAGGCATGGGCAAACTTGGGCCCTCCAGGTGTTTTGGACTTCAACTCCCACCATTCCTAACAGCCTCAGGCCCCTTCCTTTTCCCCCTCAGCTGCTTAAAAAGGAAAGGGACTGAGGCAGTCAGGAATTGTGGGAGTTGAGGTCCAAAACATCCAGAGGGCCCAAGTTTGTCCATGCTTGCTTTATAGCCACTGGAATTATATTCCTGTAGATTCAAAAATCCATGGATCCTCAAGTCTCATTATGTACAAGTAGTAAAATTGTGTCCCTTATAGAAAATGCAAAAATCAAGGTTTGTACTTGTGTGTGTGTGTGGCGGGGATATTTTCAAGCAGTGGGTGTCGAAAACTGTAGTTACAAAATCTGGGCAACTAGCTGGTAACTGGCTGGGATTTCTGGGAGTTGTAGGCCAAAATACCTGGAGACCCACAGGTTGAGAACCACTGCCATAGTATCAAGCAGTGACACAATCTTCATCACACTAGAGAATGAATCCACTTTAAATCCAGTTTCTGCCTCTTTCAGAATTCTGGGGTTTGTTGTTTAGTGAGTCTGTTAAAGGCTCCTCCCTAAACTACAATCTGCAGGAGGTAGCAAACAGGTTTAAAGTGGATTTATTTTCTAATGTGAAGAGTTGGAGGAGAGTTTGGGAACTATTCTACTACACCTCTGCAGGTTGACACTGCTTGAACTGCCAGGACTCAATGCTACAGAAGCTTGGGAGTTGTAGTTTTGCAATGCCTTCTTTGCAAAAAGTGCTGGTGCCTCAACAAACTACAACTGCCATCACCTTAAAACACCTGGAGAGCGAGAGTTTGGGAATCCCTGTTCTACAGGCAAAGGAAGACAGCATGACGCAGAGGGAGGCAGTCCCCAAGTTACGAACAAGAGAGGTTCTTAAGCTGAATGTGTATGTAAATCGGAACAGGTACATTAAGAAACATCATAGGGGTGCTCACCCTTTCCTATGCTATCCAAAACTTAGATATTTATTTCTGGGTGCTGAAGGCCAAAACATCTGGGCAACCAAAGGTTGAGAACCACTGCTCTACAGCATAAGGTGCGCCTTGTCCAAGTAGAACTCTCCATATATATTGGTGGTGGTGCAATGGGTTAAACCCTTGTGGCGGCTGGACTGAAGACAGGACATGGAATTGACAGGACATAGGATCGAATCCAGGAAGAGCATGGATGAGATCCCTCCGTCAGCTCCAGCTCCCCATGCGGGGACATGAGATGCTTCCCACAAGGATGGTAAAACATTCAACATCAGGGGGTCCCCTGGGCAACGTCCTTGCAGGCGGCCAATTCTCTCACACCAGAAGCAACTTGCAATTTCTCAAGTCGCTCCTGACACACAAAAAAGCCCATAGAGAGAGAGAAAGAGAGAGAGAGAGCTTTGGGTAGCATAGGGAAAGGTGAACACCCTTGTGATGTTTCTTTTGCTGTCTCTGCCTATGTTTGGAAGAGATTTCACCTCCCTTTCTGACCCTGTGAGAATTGGATTTTGGAAAAATGGCCTTGCTGTGGAAACAAGCATTGGTGAGAAAGCTTCAGTGGAGACACCTTTTCCCTGTGATAATAATTCTCCCAGGAGTGACTTTCCCTTCCCAGGGGTTGATTTAACTCGCTTCGTGTTGTCTCAGCCCTGTTCTTAACTGTGAGCCGTGTGTAGGTCGGCTGTTTGTAACTGGGGGGCTGCCTGTACTAGTAGGAGCGAACTTTGCGCCCAGGTAGGGTCTCGCGCCCCCTAGTGGCGGCTGCTCCTCCTCCTCCTCCTCCTCTTGGGCTTCCTTTGCTGCCGCTGCGATCCTCCTCCTCCTCTGGCTCTCACCTCCGTCTCCGTAGGTCTCGACGCCGTAGCCGTCCTGCAGGCCGTTGCTCCAGGTGCCCTCGTAGCGGGCGGGGTTGGCGAGGCTCTGCCGGACGCCGTAGCGGCCCTTGAAGCCGTGCGCCCACTCCCCGCGGTAGGTCCACTTGCCCTTGGCCTCCACGCCCAGCCCGTGCCGCTTGCCCTGCGCCCAGTGGCCCTGGTAGGTGTTGCCGCTGGGCCAGGTGTAGGCGCCCACCACCTCGAAGCCGTGCGCCCACGAGCCCGCGTACTCGCCCTGCCCCTTGGGCCCCGTGCACAGGCCGTGCCCGTGCGCCTTGCCCTCCTCCCAGCCGCCGCAGTAGGTGCCGCCATCGTCGAAGTCGAACCGCCCGCCCGTCATTCGGCGTCCAGACCCCACCGGCTCCTCGGGACCGACCCTCCGCCGCTGCCTCCTCCTCCTCCGGGGCTCCGAGCGAGAGAGAGAGCGAGCGAGCGGGCGAGAGAGTGAGCCCCTGCCAAGGCGCCGTCCCAGGCAGGCACACAGCCTCCGCGCCGCCCTCCGCTCCGCCCCGCGCTCCCCACCCGAGACCGGCTCCCACCCGGGGAAAAAGGCGGAGCTGGCCGGCAACACAAGCAGCAGGAGGAGCAGGTGCCGCCGGATAAGAGCGCGGGGGGCGCGTCCACACTGGAGGAGAAGCAATGCGCCTCAACTGCAGGAGAGATCTGGGAGTTCTACTTTGACAAAAAGTGCACCTTGTGCTGTAGAGCAGGGGTTCCCAACCTTTGGGTGCCCAGATGTTTTGGCCTTCAACTCCCAGAAATAAATTGGCTGGGATTTCTGGGAGTTGTAGGCCAAAACACCTGGGGATCCACAGGTTGAGAACCCCTGCTGTAGAATGAATGCAGTTTGACACCACCTTAACTCTACACCAGTGGTTCTCAACCTTCCTAATGCCACAACCCCTGAATATAGTTCCCCATGTTGTGATGACCTCCCCCCTCCAACCATAAAATTATTTTTGTTGCTACTTCACAACTGTAGTTTTGCTACTGTTATGAATCGTAATGTAAATATCTGATCTGCAGGATGCATTTTATTGCTTCTTCTCAACTAATTTTGCTACTTTTTTTGTTGTGCCGGAGTGACTTGAGAACCTGCAAGTCGCTTCCGGTGTGAATGAATGTGAGCCTGCAAGGACGTTGCCCAGGGGACACCCAGATGTTTTGGTGTGAGTCTGCAAGGACGTTGCCCAGGGGACGCCCAGATGTTTTGATGTTTTGTCATCCTTGTAGGAGGCTTCTCTCATGTCCCTGCATGAGGAGCTGGAGCTGATAGAGGGAGCTCATCCTCGCTCTCCCCAGATTTGAACCTGCAACGTGTTGGTCTTCAGTCCTGCCACCACAGGGGTTTAACCCACTGCGCCACCGGGGGCTCCAATTTTGCTACTGTTATGAATCGTAATGTAAATATCTGATCTGCAGGATGTATTTCCATTCATTGTGCCAAATTTGGCACAAATACCCCATACATCCAAATTTGAATACTGGTGGAGTTGGGGGAGGGATTAATTAGTCATTTGGGAGTTGTAGTTGTTGGGATTTATAGTTCACCTACAATCAAAGAGCATTCTGAACCCCACCAACGATGGAACTGAACCAAACTTGGCATGCAGAGTCCCCCCCCCCCCCCCCCCCCCCCCCCGAGGTTGAGAAGGGCGGTGTAGAAATGTTGTAAATAAAATAAATAAACATTGGGCATTGACCTTGAGTTTTGGAGTTGTAGTTCACCTACATCCAGAGAGCACCGTGGACTCAAATAATGATGGATGTCACCCAAACTTGGCACAAATACTCAATATGCCCAAATGTGAACACTGGTGGAGTTTGGGGGAAAATAAACCTTGACATTTGGGAGTTGTAGTTGCTGGGATTTATAGTTCATCTACAATCAAAGAACATTCTGAACCCCACCAATGATGGAATTGAACAAAACTTGGCACACAGAACTCCCATGACTAATATTGGGTGTTGACATTGAGTTTTGGAGTTGTAGTTCACCTACATTCAGAGAACTCTGTGGACTCAAACAATGATGGATCTGGACCAAACTTGGCACAAATCCTCAATATGCCCAAATGCGAACATGGGTGGATTTTGCAGAAAATCCACCCTGACATTTGGGAGTTGTAGTTGCTGGGATTTATAGTTCACCTACAACCAAAGAGCCTTCCGAATCCCACTAATGATAGAATTGGGCAAAACTTCCCACACAGAACCCCCATGTCTTGAAGGGACTCACTGGCGGGACCCTCCTTCCAGCCTTGCACACTCTTCCTCACGTGCACCTGCGAACTATGCTGCCAGATTTTGTTCATTTTCATGGTTTCCTCCTTTCCTCAGTGATGAACCAACCTGGACAAAGAATACTATTTTATACAATTCCATTTTAATTATTTGGTTCATGACACAACATTTGTGTATATTGAGCCATCAGAAAGAAAAGTCATCATTGCCTCAGGAACCCATGTGAACAATTTTGGAGAATTTAAGATTTTCAGATAAAGGATGCTTTAACCTGTAATAAAATAGTGGCAGTGAGCATGTAAAGAGTGCCTTTCTTCAATACTCTTCCTCTGCAGTCCCGCTTTGCACATTGCTGCTCATAGGGGAAAGGTTTGAAGTTTACAGTCTTATTTACCTTTGGTTTTAGAAATTTCTTGGGAGTTTCCTTATCTTTTTAATTTCTGACACAAGAGAGTTTCCAGGAATGGATCACTTCAGGCTCTAGATGGGTGGTGTCATTTTGTGTTGTCGCCACATTTAAAGCAACAGTAGTTAAAAAAAAAAACCCAGAAGCTCTCCTGCTGCAAGTAGAAAGCTAGCGTTAACAGGAAATGATGTGACTAGTACCTTTCTTCCTGCTGTGCTCACTTTCTATTTGTGGGGTCATGTTATGTGCCTCTTCGTTTGTTTTTAATTTAGTGTTGGACTTTTAAAATAGCATTCTGCAATAACCTTCCTACAATAATATTGTCCACATGATCATTTATGCAATTCCTATCTCATCACCATTTCATTCTGCTATTTGTGTGCATCAAATAGAAGACTAGAATTTGTGTTAAATAAAAATATTTTTTCTCCTCTGTTTTTACCTCACAATTGTCCAGCTGTGTAACAACCAGAAATTCATTAGGTGAGGCTGCTACAAACATAGTAAAGGTAAATGTTTCCCCTCAACATTAAGTCAAGTCTGACTTTAGGGGGTGGTGGTCATCTCCATTTCTAAGCCAGTGATGTCCATAGACATCTCCACGGTCACGTGGCTGGCATGACTGCATGGAGCACCATTACCTTCCCACTGAAGCAGTACCTATTGAGCTCCTCACATTTGCATGTTTTCAAACTGCTAGATTGGCAGAAGCTGGGGCTAGCAATGGGAGCTCACCCCATGCTGTGGATTTGAACTGCTGACCTTCTGGTCAGCAAGTTCAGCAGCTTAGCAGTTTAACCCACTGTACAACTGTGGCTATAAACATATAATGATGGAAAAATCTCCATCTGTTGAATGCTTTTGCGTTATGCCTTAACCTGTTCATAAAACACCTGACCATAGCATTGAGAGCTGTATTTCTAATATGATTCAGAGAATCCCAGATTCAAATACTTATTCAATTTTAAAAACCATTTGGATGAAATTGGGCTGGTCACACAGGCTTGTAAGTCTAAAATGGAGAGCAGGGTGGGAAAGTAGAAGAACCTCATATATGTCATTGATCTAGGAGAAAAGACAGAATATAAATATGAATATAATGCATAATGAATATTTATCAATTCAGAGCCCTGTTTCAATGAAAAGTCTGCTTCTAGCATCCCCCCCCCCTTAAAAGAATGTTAAAAAGGGGGAGTGGCAAAAATCTGAATGTTGAAATGCCACCGGACTGGTAAATCACCAGCAACTATAAGATCTGTCAACTGAAAGGTTGCAAGTTCGAAGCCCTGAGTCAGCATGAGCTGCTGACTGACAGCCCTGCTCACTGTTTAAGCAGTCGAAAACAGCTTTTGCTGTAATTAGAGAAATTAGGTACTGCTAAAAGTGGGGGAGATGTCTTACGACACCACAAAGAAAGATCAGAGAATGCTGGGTGACCAAAAAGGAAGGAGGAAGTCCTGATGACTCTTTGCCATAGAGCATGGAGCAACAGCACCCCCTGTGGCTGGACTCAAGCCCAGCCTTCCATGGCACCAAAACAGCTGGACACTGAGTTGAAACAACACATCTCCTTTCTGTTCTCTCTGTCTATTGTCTATACAAAGCGGCATTGAATGTTTGCCGTGTATGTGTACTGTGATCCGCCCTGAGTCCCCTTCGGGGTGAGAAGGGCAGAATATAAATAAAGTGTTGTTGTTGTTGTTGTTGTTGTTGTTGTTATTATTATTATTATTATTATTATTATTATTATTATGGTATTGTCGAAGGCTTTCATGGCCTGAATCACTGGGTTGCTATGAGTTTTCTGGGCTGTATGGCCATGTTCCAGAAGCATTCCCTCCTGATGTTTCGCCTGCATCTATGGCAGGCATCCTCAGAGGTTGTGAGGTCTGTTGGAAACTAGGCAAGTGGGTTTTATATATCTGTGGAATGTCCAGGGTTGGATAAAGAACTCTTGTCTGTTTGAGGCAGTTGTGAATGTTGCAATTGGCCAACTTGATTATCATTTAATGGCTTTCCAGCTTCAAGGTCTGGCTGGTTGCTGTCTAGGGGAATCCTTTGTTGGGAGGTGTTAGCTGGCCCTGATTGATTCTTGGTTATAATGTATGCAAAATAAGTAACTTCACCATTTGCCTTCAGTGCAGTGGAACTTCCTTTTTGGGTGGCTAAAAGAATTTTACAAAATGCAGCTGCAGAAGATGGGAGATGGGTCTGCATGAGGAATGGGCAATGGAAGACAATAGAGGGGTAGGATGCCAAAAGGGAAGAGCTGCACGTATGACAGCAGAAAGGGTAAAATAATAATAATTAAAAACTACAGGATGGGGGCCTTGGTGAGATAATGTAATCACATGGAGGTTGTCATGGGAACCAGAAGGCTTGAGTGTTCACAGAGTAGGATGGCAGCTACATGACAGTCCTATAAGTAGAATGACAGTCAAATGTCAGCCCTCCGCCCTCACGCAGGAATAACATCCGACATCAAACCACAGCCCTGCAAATGGAGGGGCAATAATGTCCCAGGTGAATGAAGGTGCATGCTGTAAAACAACAGTAAAAGCTGATTTTGTGACTGGCCAGGAAGTTTTCCATTCAAATTTCCTCTCAATGAGGATCTGTTTGCTCAGCCTTGCCAACTCTTGCAGTACAGAGATAACATTGCTGGCTTGTCTAGCAAACAGTGCTGGTTCAGGATAACAGAATGAATGAGTGCCAGCTCTTATTCTGCCACACCCAAAATATATTTCCTACCACCAGACTGGACAGAATTACAGTGAAATTCTTTACATGGGCAAGCCCTACTAGAATGAAGATAGAAAAGGGGTTGTCTGAAGGCATTTTTCTGCC